AAAATGATTACTTTTCACATGTTCATGTCTCGTTGAGTGTGCACACCTTCATATCTTCTCATTGATATTGATTTGACCTGTCTTTTAAATAGCACTCAGGAACNAGATGAGCCTCCCCGCGTGAGGGTACTGACGGACACCAGCGATTCCAAAATCAAACTCAAACGCTCGCAGTAACACCTCTTCAATGGTCATGTCCATTAGAAGGAATGAGTGAATTTAACTCGAATCGAAGTTACCCAAAACCATAATTGGAAGATACATCTATAATATATATGAAAAAAAGATACATACTACAAAAACATATATATATATATATATATATATATATATATATATATATATGTGTGTGTGTGTGNTAAAATACAAGATTAAATGAGACAAAAATATTATGCATTATAATCCAGTATTTAGTAAGACACTGGATTAAGAATAAGATAATAGAGTAACAATTATATATTGACTAAAAAACCATCAATCTTGCATACTTATATTAATATTTTTGTTTATCTATTGGGTAAAATAGTAAATTTACAACTTAATATGCNTAGTATGAGCTCCTTTTATATGTACTTGGGCTTTTAAGGTCTACCATCTAGTAACCCCCACCACATAAANTATATTAATATTTTTGTTTATCTATTGGGTAAAATAGTAAATTTACAACTTAATATGCTTGAATTGAATTATAATACTACCTTTTCATATGGTATTATAATTGGCTTAATAGTATGAATACAATGTATTATTTGGATAAACACATTTTAATACTCCAATCAAAACGACCTCATTGAATGCTGAGATTACGCATTAAATTTCTGGTAGTAAATCCATAATCAAAAATGTGTTTGTGATTGTTCTAGAAGAAATGAAACAAAAGATACGGTAGAACTAGAAGAGTTGTTGTATGTGGTTTATCCAATACTAGATGCAGAGGTGCATAATAGATTGATATGAATATCATGAGATGTCCCGTANAAACTATATCCAAAGGTTACTTAAAATGTTAAGGCATCAATAAGAAATAAACCTTGACACTCAAACTAACTGTATAAAGACATCACATTATTAACAAAACCATATGTCTCATGTCTTTTGGGGCAAAAATAAATCATAGTGCTCTTTCCAAAGTTTATCATGCATTTTGACATTCTTGGATTAATCCGTATGGCATCTAAATCTTTATAATGGTATAAACTTTAATAGGATTAATGTCTCTATTATTGTCAAAAAAATTTCAAGTGTTTGAAAATAGTAAATCCTATACCAACATCCCCATTCCAGTCCAATCATTTGCACCAAAAGTCATTGTGTTGCAAGTATTAAAATCCATACCTATGAGAAGCTCCTCACAGGAATGACTCAATAACGTTAACTCAAGATGCCATTCTATAGTCAGTGTCAAATATCACAAATGACCAATCACAAACTAGATATATGTAAAAATAAAATGCTAAATATATAGCTGTTTTTTTTTTAAATGATCACAAACTGCATAAGATCCCTCTAACTAATGTGATTTAGTTATCACATGTATATATGCTCATGCAATGAAATTATATCTGTAGTACAAGCAAAGGTGTTATACATTCACCATAAAACTAAGGATAACCACCTATTGAGCTGAAATTTCAATCAGCAAATAATTATTAGGCCCCCACTAATTTTGAAATAATATTAGATGCATAGGCTACTTGAATTTAATGAGATGAATAAAACAGTTTGTATTGTAAGAAATCTAATGGTGGACTAATAGTCGAAAACCTTGAAGAAAGTTTACACCTCACAATTGATATTTACATGAATCATGTATATTAAAGTACTTAAAGAATATAATAAGTAGATGCCAACCAACGGCTCATATGAAATAAACAGGCAAATAAACAATTACAACATAGAACATCCGATAGACATTGAGCGTTAAAACCAAATGACCGTTACTTTGCATTCAGTATCTCGAATTATAACTTCAAATAACTGATGGCTGCTATGTAATATTTTTAAGGAAATATGCACAATGTGGCAAATTTCTCTAATGTTATCCACAAATTCACAACCACAACTAAAACGTCAAAACAAAATCACCAACCATAGTCCATCAGTACCATTAGCAGGCGGTAGAATGTGGGAGGTGTCATACAATAGCGAATAGTTATTAGGGTCTGCAAATTTACTACAATGGCATCCTATTACCTTAACCATAATTACAGTAGTAATATCACAAACCTATAACAACCCACTAGTTAATTAGATTTTATTATAGAATGTTGTTATGGTCCAAAAATGTTAATGACAAACTGATTTGGTAATCAAAGACTATACGGAAACAAATGTATTCCTTTATATTCATNACGTATGCTGGAGAACATTTGAATGCGACTAGTTGACAGGATTTCAATGGTGGTTATTCTCCTTAAGTTGCACCAGAGGTGGCCGGAGGAGGCCGAGACAATGGTGGTGTAATCATAGCCAAGGTGTTTTCTGGCAAGCAGTCGAGGGCGGTTCGCAAAGATGATATCGTTTTTGGTGAAGCAATCATCTGCAGCAATGGGGGAAGATACAAGTAGTGATAGATTCCATATAAAGCTTGAAGAAGAAGATAGATGCACNGGATGTATCATATATTCAAAACTATTAGTCTACTCAACCAACACGAGTAGTTTATCTAGTATAACAAGGTTTTTTGTTTTTTTTCCCCCCCTTTTTTTTCAAAGCTAGTAGCTGTTTTTTTTTTTTAATAAAAGCAAGTAGCTAAAAAAAAATTTGTTTATCAGAAAAACTTTTTTTTTTTTCCAGAAAATTGCTTTTCCAAAAAAAATTCAGGAAGTGAAAAGAGCTGGGTAATTCTTTGGATGATCCTGTTGAGCTCTTGCTCAGGTCCTAAATACCAAACCCTTGTCAGGGAATTAAATGAATCATAGCTTACACGCCTCAAAATTCAAGGTTATACTTGGGGTTATGACGATACTACTAGAATATGAAAATAACTTCGACATGTGATGTCAATATAAATGTGCTGCTTCATGGAAAGGAGAGGAGGTGGGGTTGCCTTGAATTTAGCAGTTATCAAGTGGATGAGACGCTGCAGTTGGGAAGTCTAGGCATGTAGAAACAGGCCTGAGAACTTATGAGCTTGTTGGATGGCTCCATTTGACATATGAATAAAAATGGAGATGTATCTGAGTGGAAGAAGACTACTGCTTGGCTCTGCCATAATTTCCCAGAAAGATTTCAAGAATGAGAATTTTTATCATTTGAGTGAATTTTTGCAACTTTGCTTTGCGAAATGTGAATGAAGTGTGTTTTAACCAAATATTGATCAATACGGTCGATAAAAAGAAAAAAAACATGGGCTCAATTCTCTCTTATTTCTTTGGCGATTACAACCCACCTTACCCAAATATTTATGTGCATCTTGCAACATAAAAATCCTCAACAAGTGAACAGTGTAATGATTAGGGCTTGTATTATGTGATGCCTCTAGTATTATTAGCTTGTTTTTTTTTTCCCCCAATCTTACAATTTTAATTTTCCACTTTATCCCTATCCACAAGTACTGTAGATGGCAAGCAAGAAAGATGACACTGATATTTCAGCTGCTTTAGATAGTTGGGAAAAATTAGCATAATTATACATACTTTTAATTATTAAATTAATATCAATATCAAATAAACAAATACAAAATAATAATAAATTTAAAATGGAATAAAATAGATACTGTAAATTAGAAAGAGCTGGTCTATGAGTCCGAGAGTCGTGTGAACACTGTCCTAAAACAGATGAGCCTCCCCGCGTGAGGGTATTGACGGACACCAGTGACTTCAAGATCAAACCTAAACACTCACAGTACCACCTCCTCAATGGTCACGTTTACTAGAAAGAAGGGGTGAACCTGATTCGAATCGAAGTTGCCCAAAACCATAATTGGAAGATACATCTACAATATATATGAAAAATGATACATACTACAAAAACACATATATATCCATTAGATGTGTTAATATGAGCCCCTTTTATATGTACTTGAGAATGCTAGCCATTAGAGGCTTTTAAGGTCTACCATCTAGTAACCCCCACCACATAAAGGCATTCAAATGCCCAATTAAAACAAAGTATAATTACTCAATTAAATCATATAAAAATACAATTAAATCCTAAATTAAAAGTGATTCATTAAAACATATAAAATAAATTAAATGAAAAATTTTAAAGCTTTTATTATTATTTTTTTCAACAGTGACTTCATTGTAATTATTGGAGTCATAATTTATTGACCTAATTCACTATAGTCATTAGATTGACCATATGATCCATTAAATATTAGAACTTAATGTTGATCTAATGATGTGAATCCAGTGATTACAATATAGTCACACCATTAGATCAACGAATTATGTCAAATTTTAAGTTTCAACTTTCAATAGCATTAGTCATCGCATAATGTGTGCCTATTCTTCTTTAAGGCCAACAATAATGTTACTTAGATCTAATCTATTGAGACAATGAGTTAACTTAATTTATTATTTTTGTTAGATTTATGGTGGACTTTATACAAAGTTGAAACTTTGCCGATGATCCAAAGCCCAAAATGAATTAAGTGGAGCAGAATAACTTACCAGCATCATGCCTTTGATGATTTCATCTTTACAGTATTCAGGTTCACTTTCTTGGAATGACAGGAGAACATCGATCATTGTCTTGGTTTCCTTCTCAGAAGAAGAATTACTCCTCATTCTTCTATGCTCTTCAATCAAATCTTGCATGAACTGGTTTCTTTTTTCCTGTAATACCGCCAACTTCTTTTCAATCCCATTGAATCCAACCCATTTCAGAATAGGCATGAAATCTCCCATATTTGTAGCTCCACTCAATCGAAAACTCTTATTACAATCTCCTTGAACTTTCTTGTTTCCTCCAATTCTGCCGCATTATCACCATAGTATTGCTTTCCAGCAATCATCTTCATTAGGAATTTGAGTATCATCTCAAAAAAGACCAATTTCATCTCCACCGTGTGGTATTCGCCGTCACCAGAGCCTCTAAAAAGCCGGCAAATTAGTGAGTAAACCTCATGACCATGTATGCTGGAGAACATTTGAATGCGACTAGTTGACAGGATTTCAATGGTGGTTATTCTCCTTAAGTTGCGCCAGAGGTGGCCGGAGGAGGCCGAGACAATGGTGGTGTAATCATAGCCAAGGTGTTTTCTGGCAAGCAGTCGAGGGCGGTTCGCAAAGATGATATCGTTTTTGGTGAAGCAATCATCTGCAGCAATGGGGGAAGATACAAGTAGTGATAGATTCCATATAAAGCTTGAAGAAGAAGATAGATGCACACAGAGAAAGTAAGAGAAACAAAGATTTTTCCATTACATTCTCAGTTGCAGTGTACAAGTATTTATAACAAAACTTAGTTACAATGCCAGCTTGGACTTAACTAACTAATAGACAAACTTGCAGGTTAGTTGCTGCAGCAACAGAATTGCATTCCTTCACATGGCAGTAGCTGATATATGAGAATTGCTTGTGTAATGCTGGTATTGTGTAATACACCCCCTCAAACTGATGGTGGGGGACCAACCAGTAGTTTGTCTCTGAGAAGCAAAAATCTGGCAAAAGATAGACCTTTGGTGAAGACATCAGCCAACTGATCCTTAGTAGAAATATACTGGACAGTTAGAGATTTATTTGCCACCTTCTCGCAGATGAAATGAAAGTCTATCTCTATATGCTTAGTTCTAGCATGAAACATGGGATTAGATGCAAGTGCCAAAGTTGAAATGTTATCACACCAAAGAGTAGGAGTGTGAGATGGAAAAAGTTGCAGACTTTGTAAAAGTATTAGCAACCATTTAAGTTTAGCAGTGGTTTGAGCAAGAGCTCAAAATTCAGCCTCAGTAGAAGACCTAGATACAATACTCTATTTCTTTGTAGACCAATGAATGGGATTATCTCCAAGAAAAAGAAGATATCCTGTAGTAGACCTTTTGTCATTAGGATCCCCTGCCCAATCAACATCTATAAAAACTGATAGAGTAAGAGAACTAGGCCTGTAAAAGAGACCAAAATGAGAAGTTCCCTTGAGATACCTCAGAATCCTCTTGACTGCTGCAAAATGAACATCTGTAGGAGAGCTCATATATTGACAAACATGATTGACTGAAAAGGTAATATCAAGTCTGGTAAAAGTGAGATACTATAGAGAACCAANGTTTGTATTATGTGATGCCTCTAGTATTATTAGCTTGTTTTTTTTTCCCCAATCTTACAATTTTAATTTTCCACTTTATCCCTATCCACAAGTACTGTAGATGGCAAGCAAGAAAGATGACACTGATATTTCAGCTGCTTTAGATTNAAAATACTTCTATATAAAGATGGATCATGTCACACCCCCACCTCGGATCACATAGGGTGAGCAGCGGACCGGCCACCGAGGCCTTAACTAGTCATCCATGTGCATAATTAATGCAAAATACAGTGAAAGACAAATAATAAAGTGATCTTTTTCACCGATATAATGAATACCAGAGAAATAAACTAACATCACCGACATTATTATTAAACTCATGTANATGGCAAGCAAGAAAGATGACACTGATATTTCAGCTGCTTTAGATAGTTGGGAAAAATTAGCATAATTATACATACTTTTAATTATTAAATTAATATCAATATCAAATAAACAAATACAAAATAATAATAAATTTAAAATGGAATAAAATAGATACTGTAAATTAGAAAGAGCTGGTCTATGAGTCCGAGAGTCGTGTGAACACTGTCCTAAAACAGATGAGCCTCCCCGCGTGAGGGTATTGACGGACACCAGTGACTTCAAGATCAAACCTAAACACTCACAGTAGCACCTCCTCAATGGTCACGTTTACTAGAAAGAAGGGGTGAACCTGATTCGAATCGAAGTTGCCCAAAACCATAATTGGAAGATACATCTACAATATATATGAAAAATGATACATACTACAAAAACACATATATATCCATTAGATGTGTTAATATGAGCCCCTTTTATATGTACTTGAGAATGCTAGCCATTAGAGGCTTTTAAGGTCTACCATCTAGTAACCCCCACCACATAAAGACATTCAAATGCCCAATTAAAACAAAGTATAATTACTCAATTAAATCATATAAAAATACAATTAAATCCTAAATTAAAAGTGATTCATTAAAACATATAAAATAAATTAAATGAAAAATTTTAAAGCTTTTATTATTATTTTTTTCAACAGTGACTTCATTGTAATTATTGGAGTCATAATTTATTGACCTAATTCACTATAGTCATTAGATTGACCATATGATCCATTAAATATTAGAACTTAATGTTGATCTAATGATGTGAATCCAGTGATTACAATATAGTCACACCATTAGATCAACGAATTATGTCAGATTTTAAGTTTCAACTTTCAATAGCATTAGTCATCGCATAATGTGTGCCTATTCTTCTTTAAGGCCAACAATAATGTTACTTAGATCTAATCTATTGAGACAATGAGTTAACTTAATTTATTATTTTTGTTAGATTTATGGTGGACTTTATACAAAGTTGAAACTTTGCCGATGATCCAAAGCCCAAAATGAATTAAGTGGAGCAGAATAACTTACCAGCATCATGCCTTTGATGATTTCATCTTTACAGTATTCAGGTTCACTTTCTTGGAATGACAGGAGAACATCGATCATTGTCTTGGTTTCCTTCTCAGAAGAAGAATTACTCCTCATTCTTCTATGCTCTTCAATCAAATCTTGCATGAACTGGTTTCTTTTTTCCTGTAATACCGCCAACTTCTTTTCAATCCCATTGAATCCAACCCATTTCAGAATAGGCATGAAATCTCCCATATTTGTAGCTCCACTCAATCGAAAACTCTTATTACAATCTCCTTGAACTTTCTTGTTTCCTCCAATTCTGCCGCATTATCACCATAGTATTGCTTTCCAGCAATCATCTTCATTAGGAATTTGAGTATCATCTCAAAAAAGACCAATTTCATCTCCACCGTGTGGTATTCGCCGTCACCAGAGCCTCTAAAAAGCCGGCAAATTAGTGAGTAAACCTCATGACCATGTATGCTGGAGAACATTTGAATGCGACTAGTTGACAGGATTTCAATGGTGGTTATTCTCCTTAAGTTGCGCCAGAGGTGGCCGGAGGAGGCCGAGACAATGGTGGTGTAATCATAGCCAAGGTGTTTTCTGGCAAGCAGTCGAGGGCGGTTCGCAAAGATGATATCGTTTTTGGTGAAGCAATCATCTGCAGCAATGGGGGAAGATACAAGTAGTGATAGATTCCATATAAAGCTTGAAGAAGAAGATAGATGCACACAGAGAAAGTAAGAGAAACAAAGATTTTTCCATTACATTCTCAGTTGCAGTGTACAAGTATTTATAACAAAACTTAGTTACAATGCCAGCTTGGACTTAACTAACTAATAGACAAACTTGCAGGTTAGTTGCTGCAGCAACAGAATTGCATTCCTTCACATGGCAGTAGCTGATATATGAGAATTGCTTGTGTAATGCTGGTATTGTGTAATACACCCCCTCAAACTGATGGTGGGGGACCAACCAGTAGTTTGTCTCTGAGAAGCAAAAATCTGGCAGAAGATAGACCTTTGGTGAAGACATCAGCCAACTGATCCTTAGTAGAAATATACTAGACAGTTAGAGATTTATTTGCCACCTTCTCGCAGATGAAATGAAAGTCTATCTCTATATGCTTAGTTCTAGCATGAAACATGGGATTAGATGCAAGTGCCAAAGTTGAAATGTTATCACACCAAAGAGTAGGAGTGTGAGATGGAAAAAGTTGCAGACTTTGTAAAAGTATTAGCAACCATTTAAGTTCAGCAGTGGTTTGAGCAAGAGCTCGAAATTCAGCCTCAGTAGAAGACCTAGATACAATACTCTATTTCTTTGTAGACCAATGAATGGGATTATCTCCAAGAAAAAGAAGATATCATGTAGTAGACCTTTTGTCATTAGGATCCCCTGCCCAATCAACATCTATAAAAACTGATAGAGTAAGAGAACTAGGCCTGTAAAAGAGACCAAAATGAGAAGTTCCCTTGAGATACCTCAGAATCCTCTTGACTGCTGCAAAATGAACATCTGTAGGAGAGCTCATATATTGACAAACATGATTGACTGAAAAGGTAATATCAAGTCTGGTAAAAGTGAGATACTATAGAGAACCAAAAATACTTCTATATAAAGATGGATCATGTCACACCCCCACCTCGGATCACATAGGGTGAGCAGCGGACCGGCCACCGAGGCCTTAACTAGTCATCCATGTGCATAATTAATGCAAAATACAGTGAAAGACAAATAATAAAGTGATCTTTTTCACCGATATAATGAATACCAGAGAAATAAACTAACATCACCGACATTATTATTAAACTCATGTAAAATAATAATTAATCCATAAGGTTCACTACTCTAAGTAAAAACAACATTATTTTCAAAACAATCGAATACTCGCCTCAAAACTATAAAAAAAAATATTTATTCCTGAACACCTACAATAAAATAAATCTTTGATTCTTCTAATCCCTTGTCTATCCGAGGACTTACTGCTTGACAAATTTCCTTGTTGTTTCCTAACCTATAAACATCACCTTTTAGCATATATAGTATATGAATAAGGGGAGTGTCACTCTCCTAGGGATGATGTCAAAAGAAAGGGCAACGGAATGATGGATGAATGAGATTTCAAATGTGAGTATGTGTGAACAAAANGAGGCTTTTAAGGTCTATCATCTAGTAACCCCCACCACATAAAGGCATTCAAATGCCCAATTAAAACAAAGTATAATTACTCAATTAAATCATATAAAAANGATTTCAAATGTGCGTATGTGTGAACAAAAGTGTTCCCCAAGCACAAGGAGACTTTCACGGATCGTGTTTTATTTGGTGGTATTCCAAGGTCGTTTCCACGGGGAAGGAAGTAAATCGAGGGGAAGGTGATTTTGGGAGAAAGAAAGTGTAAAATCTTTGATTGTTGGAAGTTGTTTNGCTTTTATTATTATTTTTTTCAACAGTGACTTCATTGTAATTATTGGAGTCATAATTTATTGACCTAATTCACTATAGTCATTAGATTGACCATATGATCCATTAAATATTAGAACTTAATGTTGATCTAATGATGTGAATCCAGTGATTACAATATAGTCACACCATTAGATCAACGAATTATGTCAGATTTTAAGTTTCAACTTTCAATAGCATTAGTCATCGCATAATGTGTGCCTATTCTTCTTTAAGGCCAACAATAATGTTACTTAGATCTAATCTATTGAGACAATGAGTTAACTTAATTTATTATTTTTGTTAGATTTATGGTGGACTTTATACAAAGTTGAAACTTTGCCGATGATCCAAAGCCCAAAATGAATTAAGTGGAGCAGAATAACTTACCAGCATCATGCCTTTGATGATTTCATCTTTACAGTATTCAGGTTCACTTTCTTGGAATGACAGGAGAACATCGATCATTGTCTTGGTTTCCTTCTCAGAAGAAGAATTACTCCTCATTCTTCTATGCTCTTCAATCAAATCTTGCATGAACTGGTTTCTTTTTTCCTGTAATACCGCCAACTTCTTTTCAATCCCATTGAATCCAACCCATTTCAGAATAGGCATGAAATCTCCCATATTTGTAGCTCCACTCAATCGAAAACTCTTATTACAATCTCCTTGAACTTTCTTGTTTCCTCCAATTCTGCCGCATTATCACCATAGTATTGCTTTCCAGCAATCATCTTCATTAGGAATTTGAGTATCATCTCAAAAAAGACCAATTTCATCTCCACCGTGTGGTATTCGCCGTCACCAGAGCCTCTAAAAAGCCGGCAAATTAGTGAGTAAACCTCATGACCATGTATGCTGGAGAACATTTGAATGCGACTAGTTGACAGGATTTCAATGGTGGTTATTCTCCTTAAGTTGCGCCAGAGGTGGCCGGAGGAGGCCGAGACAATGGTGGTGTAATCATAGCCAAGGTGTTTTCTGGCAAGCAGTCGAGGGCGGTTCGCAAAGATGATATCGTTTTTGGTGAAGCAATCATCTGCAGCAATGGGGGAAGATACAAGTAGTGATAGATTCCATATAAAGCTTGAAGAAGAAGATAGATGCACACAGAGAAAGTAAGAGAAACAAAGATTTTTCCATTACATTCTCAGTTGCAGTGTACAAGTATTTATAACAAAACTTAGTTACAATGCCAGCTTGGACTTAACTAACTAATAGACAAACTTGCAGGTTAGTTGCTGCAGCAACAGAATTGCATTCCTTCACATGGCAGTAGCTGATATATGAGAATTGCTTGTGTAATGCTGGTATTGTGTAATACACCCCCTCAAACTGATGGTGGGGGACCAACCAGTAGTTTGTCTCTGAGAAGCAAAAATCTGGCAGAAGATAGACCTTTGGTGAAGACATCAGCCAACTGATCCTTAGTAGAAATATACTGGACAGTTAGAGATTTATTTGCCACCTTCTCGCAGATGAAATGAAAGTCTATCTCTATATGCTTAGTTCTAGCATGAAACATGGGATTAGATGCAAGTGCCAAAGTTGAAATGTTATCACACCAAAGAGTAGGAGTGTGAGATGGAAAAAGTTGCAGACTTTGTAAAAGTATTAGCAACCATTTAAGTTCAGCAGTGGTTTGAGCAAGAGCTCAAAATTCAGCCTCAGTAGAAGACCTAGATACAATACTCTATTTCTTTGTAGACCAATGAATGGGATTATCTCCAAGAAAAAGAAGATATCCTGTAGTAGACCTTTTGTCATTAGGATCCCCTGCCCAATCAACATCTATAAAAGCTGATAGAGTAAGAGAACTAGGCCTGTAAAAGAGACCAAAATGAAAAGTTCCCTTGAGATACCTTAGAATCCTCTTGACTGCTGCAAAATGAACATCTGTAGGAGAGCTCATATATTGACAAACATGATTGACTGAAAAGGTAATATCAAGTCTGGTAAAAGTGAGATACTATAGAGAACCAACAATACTTCTATATAAAGATGGATCATGTCACACCCCCACCCCGGATCACATAGGGTGAGCAGCGGACCGGTCACCGAGGCCTTAACTAGTCATCCATGTGCATAATTAATGCAAAATACAGTGGAAGACAAATAATAAAGTGATCTTTTTCACCGATCTAATGAATACCAGAGAAATAAACTAACATCACCGACATTATTATTAAACTCATGTAAAACAATAATTAATCCATAAGGTTCACTACTCTAAGCAAAAACAACATTATTTTCAAAACAATCGAATACTCGTCTCAAAACTATAAAAAAAAATATTTATTCCTGAACACCTACAATAAAATAAATCTTTGATTCTTCTAATCCCTTGTCTATCCGAGGACTTACTGCTTGACAAATTTCCTTGTTGTTTCCTAACCTATAAACATCACCTTTTAGCATATATAGTATATGAATAAGGGG